GCATCTTGTAGGTAAATGTCCATCTGTGTGGGGTTTTTTAGGGGCGTCAGTGGGTCTTTCTTTAGGTTGTATAGGGTTTCGTAATACGTGGCAAATTCGTCGCAGATGTCTTTCGGGGCAACCAACTTGTTTCCTTGTGAGTCCTGTATGTGTGCTATTTTAGATGTTGCCTGTCTGTCTCTGAGTTTTTGGGCTAGTATTTTGCCCGCTCTATTGCCCTGGGAGTAGTGAGTGGCTTTCAATTTCCGTAGTGAGTAGCCCATTCTCGTGATTGCGAACTCCTGTATTTTGTCTTGTGTATCTGAGATTTGGCTTTTTAACTCTGGCGATGGGCTCGTTTGGTTTAGTTTGTTGAGGTCGTGTAGTTGTTTGTACCATGTGACCTTTTGTGCGTGGGACGTCCGTTTGAGGAAATGTGCTCTTTTGATCAGTTCCCCACGTATTACGGGTTTGTGGGCTAGCCAGGTGATCTCCGCTGAGATCTCTGGTGCGGTGTTTTCTTTAAAGTAGTGTTTAAGTGTGTTTTCTACGTGGTCTGCGAAAGTTTTATCGTGTAGGAGTGTTTCGTTCAGCCGCCAGGGTCTTCTGTTGTGGCCCTCAAATTTGTCTTTTAGTTCCATAGTAATAGGTGCATGGTCTGACCACGTAATAGTCTCTATTGTGCATTTGAGTACCTGTGTTAGATGTTTTCCTTCCGTGAGGAACCTGTCAATTCGCGTGTAAGAGTTGTGGACCGAGGAGAAAAACGTGAAGTCTCTCTCCTCTGGGTGGAGGACTCTCCACGTGTCGTAGAGATTATGTTCGTCTAGTAGTCTCTGGTATGTGGTGCATTGTCTCCTGGCTGGGTTGTTCCCTTTCGTATTAGGACCTTTGGACAAGTCTAACCCAGGGTCTAGAATGTGGTTAAAGTCTCCACAGATTATTAGCATTCCCCTCTGACTCGGTGTTATTTTGGCTAGTGTTTTATGTAGGAAGTTGCGTTGTTCTGAGTTGGGTGCGTACACGTTTGCTATGGTGTAGGTAATGTCATTGATTGTGCATACCAGTATGATGTATCGACCTTCCTCGTCTATGACTAAGTCGTGTTCGGTGAATGCTACTCGGTTGCTGATTAGCACAGAGACCCCTTTCGTTTTGGATTTTGCTGTAGCGTGTTGTTGGTATGGGTATGCGAGGGGTTTAAGGAGATATGGTTTGGTGAGATGTGTCTCCTGGAGACATACTATGTCTGGTTGGGATTTTTGGAGATCGTGAAGTAATAGGTGGCGTTTGACAGGGGAATTTAGCCCCCTTACGTTGTGACTATATATCTTCATAAAGGGAGGGTCTGTGAGGGGTGCTATCTGTAACGTTGTCATCGTTAGATTTGTGTTTTCCCCGAGTGCCCTTGTATGTCTTGGTACTTGAGTCTAGTGTGATGTGTATAGGCAGTGGTGCCGTGGAGTATATACTTGCTGTGTTGCTGAGTGGCTGCTCTGGCGGATCCGCGTGAGGCACATCCGTGACGGGTCGCGTTGTTCTCCTGGCTCTCTGTGTCTGTACTGGAACGGTACGGTTATGCAGGTACATATCCTTGGATTGTCTAGTGTGGTCTGGGTAGGGGAGGGAGGATAAGAGGTTAATACAGGAAAATAGAAAAATAGAAAACAGTGCGGTAAGGACCGCAGGGCCCAAGGTGGGCTGAGTACCCAGGTTGGGTACCATGGAGGTAGGCAACAACAAAAACATTAACAAATATCTTGTGCGATTAGCCCTAGCGCTTATCTCAATAGTTCTGCATACCACGTGAAGATATAGTTATTTCAAAAACATAAACAAAAACATTGTTTTTTTTTTTTTTTTCTCCTTAACTTAGTTCCACAGGTCTCTGTCCGGGCTACTCTCATATGAGAGGCCAATTGGTCTATACGTCCCCCATCTTCCCTTGGGTGAGTTGAGGGGATGGGTGACCCCCGTGGCAGCACTTTTTTTTTTTTTTATTAAAAAAAAGGCCGCTGGCATTGAAGAGATCGTGGGAGCAGTTACCCAACTGCTGTGTATATCTGAGGTTAACTATATGTGGGTATTATTTATTTATTTATTTATTTATTTAATTTTTTTTTTTTTTTTATTAGTCATAACTATGAGTAAGTTTTAAGCTAGAGGTGTCATAGGGTGTGGGGTGAAAATACCAGTTAGGGAATTCCTCAATCAGGTGGCATCGCCATTCAGTCCTGTATCTGTACTCTTTAAAACTGGATATGGGCTGATGGAGTTCGGGTTACTTTTTCGCCTTCTTCCAGTCCTGTCTCAATCGCTGTGGTGAAGTTGTGCGTCCGTGTTGTTTGCGAACTGGTAGGTCCCATTGTTTCAGGGCCCTCAGGCCTTCCTCCGGCGTTGTTACGTGTGTAAAGGTGCCATTGCGCTGGATAATCAGGCGCACCGGGTGACCCCATCTGTATGGAATCTTGTTGTCCCGCAGCGTTTCCGTAGTCTCCTTGAACTCCCTTCGGCGTTGTAGAGTGGCTGCCGATAGGTCAGCATATATTTGTAGATGGCCATATTTAGCTGGAAGGTTTGTGCGGTTCCTGGCAGCTTTGAGTATGGCCTCTTTGACGTGATAATAATGGAGATGGGTCAGCGTATCTCTCGCCGCCTCGGCTGGTAGAAACTTCGGTTTGGCTACCCGGTGGGCCCGGTCCAGCAGGATCATCTCAGTCGGTATTTCTGGTATGAGACACTTGAAAAAACCTGTCAGGAATTCAGGTATTTCAGCTTGCGTTATCGATTCCGGTATGCCCCGGATTCTCAGGTTCTGTCTCCGTGACCTGTCCTCCAGATCTGAGAGTTTGAGCTGGGCTGAGGTGAGTTTCTGTTCCAGGGCTTTAACGTGGTCTGTCAGGTCGTTATGGGCCTCTTCATATTCGCCCATGCGGTTTTCCACGTGGGCCGTTCTTTCGCCCAGCTCCTGGATGTCCTTGCCCATTGCAGTGACCGATGCTTGGATTTTGTTGAGCAATTTGTCGGACATTTCGTCCAGGCATGCTCTCAGGAACTCCTGTGTCACGGGGAGATTCCCAGGGTCTGGTGAGTTATGGAGGGGGAGGGTATCGTCTCCGCCGCCATCTTGGTCTGCCTCATGCTGGCCCTGGGCTCTGGAAGGCGCGGGTCTCGCCGCGAAGAAGCCCGATTTTTCAGCCCTGTCAGGGATTTTCTTACCCTTCTGCTGCGACATGCTTGTGGGGCGAGTGATGCCGGGTTTCGTTTCGCGGTATGCTGGGTTTAGTCGCTTCGTGGGCTAATCTAGGAGCGGAGCACTAGTGCCGTGCGACCATCCGCTTCAGCGTGCAGGCCACGCCCCCTGTCAGGCACTGATCTTAATCAAATAGTGTCACATTGGCCAAATCTAGTTTTCAGACCATGCATCTGTCAGTTTAGTACTAAAAGACTTGTATGATTTTAAAAACAGATGCCCCTGGAGACTTATTGCACAATTAAGCCTTTGTACGTAACTTTTCACAAGCTATGAAACAATATTTGAAGGAAAACACAACCCCCAATGTGTCACAGTCCACAGTGTGCATGGCACACAATTCTGTCATACGCGATATACTTATAAACAGAGCATCTTATTTACATTAAAAATCGAAAGCCCAGCTATTCCAATGGCAACAAGAACTTTACAAATTAAATTCCCAGAACCAAATAGCTCTTACAGACACGCTGAAAGAATGCATCATTGCGTTAACGGAAAATATCCATCAACAAGCTCTTATTAAAGTAGGACTTCAAGCTGGACAAGTTAAGGTGAGTTTCTACAAGCAAGGCAATAAAGCTGGTAAGCTGCTAACGGCAAGAGACCCAAAAATTAGCATATCTGATATCCCATGATGGCACTAAAATAACACCCCGAGGCATTAGTAGTGAGTTTGCCATGTTCTACTCCAAACTCTACAAACTCGGATCGGACCCCCATACATATCAACCCACTGAACAAGAAATAAAAAATTACTTAGACCAGATATCTATACGACAACTCACAAGCCAGCAACAGTTATATCTACATGCCCCACTCACTGTAGAAGGGGTCTTATTTGCCATTAGGTCTTTGCCGACAGGGAAAGAACCTGGACCGGATTGCTTAGATAACTCTTATTATAAGGCATTTAGAGACATCTTGGCACCCCAGATAGTCTGAATGTTCACAGAGCCCACCCAATCACAAAGGATGCTGGCGGAATCTCTGGTAGAACATATCATCACATTACAGAAACTGGGCACACCTCCTACATACCAATATCGCTTCTAAACACTGACGCAAACTGTACGTCAAAATTTACACGATGGGCCAGCGGAGTTATTCCGGTCCCCACCAGGTCCTGCTACTTACTATTGGGTGACACCTGTGTGTGTCTGGAATGGAACGCTCCCACGTGGCCTATCCAAAATGGTCGATGGTGATACCGTGAAGCATGGCATACAAACCCTGGCGCTAAGTTTGGCAGAGAGATTCTCTCAGGTGTTTGATGCCATCTGTCAAAAGGTTTTGGTGTAACCTGAGCAAACGCGATCAGCAACCCACACTGTTGGTCCCCAGGGCTCAGCCTGAACATGGAGCCCCAGCTTGGAAACTCCCTTATCAATGGAGATCCAAGCTTGGTTAAAAAAGAAAAATTGTGCTTTCTTATTTTGTGCCATACGACTGTTAATGATGAGCTGCTGGTACATGCTGTTGTGGCGTTATCAGCTTGTATGTATCCTATATGCACAACGAAAAAATGAAGAATATAAAAAAAAAATAATAATTATGCAATGAGACTGGGGAAATTGCTTCCAATGGTTATCCATGATGATCAAGTAGGGTTTATAGCCCTGAGACAGGAAGCAGACAACACTAGAAAGGTGCATTAGAATAGAAATCTGATATCTACGTATAGAATATACAGAAGGAAGAGGGAATAAGACCGTGTATACAAAGCTCTGAAACAGGAAAAATATAGGGATTCACCAGAAACCTATAAAAACAGTATACATATAGTGTTTGGTACTATAAAAATAGAAACAGGTGGGGGCGGAGCTTACCTGCCGAGCGAGCCAGACGTCCATGGTGAGAGCTCCCGCATCTAAAGCTCTGATACTGGGCACTACGCCCGACCACCGGATCGCGCCGGCTGCGGACAACTATCCTCCAGCTCAGGAGGAGACGCTGAGTCCGGGGATACCTGACTCGAGGGTCCCCGCTGCTAAATCGTCCACATCGCAATCTGCGGCCTGCACAGGTGGGAGCCGCGGAGACACGGCCGCTCTCCCGGTTCTCAGGCTGAAGAGGTGACACTAGCACATTGCCTCCCCCCCCCCCAAGGACCAGTGGGGGTTATCCCGGTCCCTGCCAGCACAGGAGGCTACAAACCCTGATGGCACAGCAGACGCTGGTGAACTCTCCAGAGGCATAGTGGCAGCGATGCCCAAGATGGCGGACATGTCTGGCCTCAACACACGTGGCCGGAATCGACAGCAACCTGGCGCAGAAGGCCCCACAGTAAAATCGACAAAGTTGGCGACACAGGCACAACCTGCAAAGAGCAGTACCCATGCCGCCCCACCCAGGCACACCCAAGAGTTTTTCAATAGACTCTGCATCAACCTTTGGACAAAGTTCCGAAACAGTGGCCGGTCCTTCAGATTGGCGGTGCAAGCGGCAGCAGCATGGATCCGACCGGCAACTCTACGCCAAATATGTGGGTACACACCAAGAGCCCCCAAAGCGACCTCCCAAAGGAGATGATGCCAGAAAGCTAACACACGCTCATAAATCAGAGCGAGACTGCCGGGCAAGCACGACCCACTCACCACCCAGGAGTAGTGATGTACCGAACGGTTCGCCGGCGAACGGTTCCTGGCGAACATAGCATGTTCGCGTTCGCCACGGCGTGCGAACATATGCGCGGTTCGACCCGCCCCCTATTCGTCATCATTGAGTAAACTTTGACCCTGTACCTCACAGTCAGCAGACACATTCCAGCCAATTAGCAGCACAGCCTCCTTAGCAGACCCTCCCACCTACTGGACAGCATCCATTTTAGATTCATTCTCAAGCTGCATGCTTAGTAAGAGGAGGGAAAGTGTAGCTGCTGTTCATAAGATAGGGAAAAGCATAGCTAGGTTAGGGATAAGGGTATGCTTTTTGGATTTTTTCTATCTAATGTAAATGCACTTTGAAGCTGAAACTTCGCCACTGCTGCCAGCGCTTTCTGCGTCAGGCTCACAGTGCCCATTTCAGTCAGTGCCACCACTACATCTGGTGTCACAATAGTTTGGATTTAAAAAACAAAACCTTTTCACTGTTATAGATTGAATAGCAGTCAGTTATCTGCCACTGCTGCCAGCTTGTGTCAGGCTCCACAGTGCATACTGTGCCCACCATTTCAGTCAGTGCCACCAAATACATCTAAGGTCAAGCAATAGCTTGGATTTAAAAACAAAAACTTTTTTCACTGTTATAGATTGAATAGCAGTTAGTTGTCTGCCACTGCTGCCAGCTTGTGTCAGGCTCACAGTGGATACTGTGCCCATTTGCCCAGTCAGTGCCCTCACTCACTGGTGTCACAATAGC